CTCCCGGGTTTAAGTGATTCTCGTGCCTCAGCCTCCCAAGTAGCTGGGATTACAGACTGCGCCACCACACCCAGCTAATTTTTGTATTTTTAGTAGAGACGTTTCACCATGTTGCCCAGGCTGGTCTCAAACTCTTGGCCTTCAAGTGATCCGCCCACCTTGGCCTCCCAAAGTTCTGAGATTATAGGTGTGAGCCACTGAGCCCTGCCCATATAAGTAATTTCTAAATTCCTTCTCCCTCAAAGCAAAAGTTGGTAAAAATTTAGTCATATGGATTTTCTTATATTCCTATATATGCCTTGTCCTTGTTAAGATCCAAGAACAAGGTAATAATTAGCCTAGTATGAAATTTTAAGGCATGTTCCTCTAACTTATTTGAATGATCTTAGGGAATGTGCCATATAGTCTCATCAGATGCCTTCATAAAAGCTAAATCTCAGCTCAGGTTGGTGTCACTGCTAGGCAAAGGGCTAGAATGTGACATTCTACCAGGGGCCTTTCCCAAAGGCCTGTTTCTCAGCCATTCTCCTGTTGATAGAATTGCCCTTATTCCAGCAAAGTTTTCCTCACTTTGAACTTACATCTAAATATCAGTTATCTGTTCTTCTACAGCAAATTACCCCCAAACTTAGTGCTGAAAACAGTGGATGCTCATTAGCTCACAGCACTTCTGAGGGGCAGGCCTCCGGGAGTGGCTCGTCTGGGTGATTCTGCCTGAGGCTTCAGTCAAGCTGTGGCTGGGGTGCAACAGTCATCTCAAGGCTCAGTGGGGACAGGAGAATCCTATTCCACCTCCCTCCATCATAGCATTGTTGACAGGAGGCCTCGGCTCCTCACTGGCTGTTGGCCAGATGCCTCCATTCTTTGTCATGTGGACAGCTGTCTGTAGGCTGTCCTCAGGACATGACAACTGGCTTCCTCCAGAGAGACCAGCCCAAGAGAAAAAGAGAGCGTGAGCAAGCGAGAGAGTACCTGAGACAGAAGCCCAGCTTTATAACCTAACTCAGAGTGACTACTGTCACCTCTGCCATAGCCTATTGGTCACACAGGCTGGCCTGGTAGAGTAGAGGAGGAGACTACATATGGATGTGAATACCAGTAGGTGAGGGTTATCCAGAGCCATCTTTGAGGCAGCCTACCACAACCTAGATCCACTATCTCCAGCCCTAGCAGAAGACACGACCGACAGTGCTAAGCCTACAGCTTTGTGGGTTGTTTTTTTCTGTTTTGAGGTGGAGTCTTGCTCTGTTGCCCAGGCTGGAATGCAGTGGCACCATCTCAGTTCACTGCAGCCTCTGCCTCCTGAGTTCAAGTGATTCTCGTGCCTCAGCCTCCTGAGTAGCTGGGACTACAGGCATGTGCCAGCACCCCTGGCTAATTTTTGTATTTTTAGTAGAGATGGTGTTTCACCATGTTGGCCAGGCTGGTCTCGAACTCTTGTCCTAAAGTGATCTGCCCCCACTTGACCTCCCAAAGTGCTGGAATTACAGGCATGAGCCAGCCCCACCAACCTAAGCCCACAGCTTTGAAAGCAGAAACTTCACTAACACTGAAGACTTTAGAGCTCCTCCTCTCACCTCCAGCTGAGGCCACTTATCTCCTGGAAGACCAGTCTTGCTGACTGATGTCAAAGAGGATTTTACATTTTACTGTGTCTTTAAATAAGAGATGTGAGTTCCTGAAGTTTTATTATTGTCAAACATTCCAATCATTATCTAGTTTTCAAATGCTAGATGAAAGTCCTAGATCAAATAAGGAAACTCTTGCATTTATTTTGTTCAGTTAGTAATTATAAGTACAATCTGTTAGTCATGGCAGAGAACATTACATCACATTTTTTAAAAAATGTATGGACTTGCTGGAAAGCAATGGTGTTACTAACACTCTGGCTGGGCCTGCTGTGCTTCTCCTCATTTGTAGGTTATCAGGAGCAAGTTGTAGTGTCAACTTTATTCTCTTCTCTGCTCCAAAAATGAAAATGGGAGATTTTCAGATGACAATTCAAAGACTTTTTTGTGGATGCACCCTGAACTCTGTGGTTCAGTAAACATTCCTCAGCCAGTTGTATCTGGCTGTTGGGTTGCATGTTAGCCATTAAGCTTTGCAACTAGGATTGTGAGGGCCATAGATGTTTTCTTTTGTTGTGTCATATATTTCTCAATCTGTTGCATCATCCAGCTTGAATCAAAATCAAGTAAATATTTTTTTCTCCTATTATTTCCAAGAAAAAAAGACAGTGCTTCAACTGGCTAAGAGTATTTGTATAATTTTGAAAGTTTTATATGACAAACTTTGTCATATAAGAAAATCTTTGTTGCTTCTTTTGAAATGACATGGCTCCAAGAAAGGCTTTATACCAAAGTCAGCCTGGCAGGAAGTGTTCCTCAGCTTCTTCTCCCTAAGTTATCCTCATTAAAATAAACATTTTAACTTTTTTTTCTTACTAGAACATCAGAACAGACATTGTCATGGATGTTGGCTGCAGTATAAATCCAGCCATTGACATAGGCCAGGTATGTGTAACTGATATGTCTCACTTTCTATTTGTAAAAGCCAAAAGTGCAGTGGGGTCTGCAGGGGAGCATTCCATCAGGCTTATTCATCATCTTATTTTTCTACCCCTTTAGTCAACTCTATTCAGACCAGCTGCAAAGCTCAAATGTCTTACTGTTTAAGGGGGAAGGAAATAAAGTGTTTTCAGTAGCTTTTGAAGAAACATACAATCTGTGACTAGGGAGCTTGAATGAGGCAAGACCAAGCCTAGAGGTGACCGATGAGCTCCAAACTTCTGGGACATACGTAGAGTTAGTGCCCAGTGCTGAGCCTTAGCCACACAATGGGCTTCAGCTTCGAGGAGTTTGAAGTTTGCTGGAATCACAAGCCTCAAGTCATTAGAGCAGTAGCTATTGATAGGCAGCCTGTAGTGCTGGATTCTACCCACAGACATTTTCAAATTTAAATTTGAAATAGTTGAAAAGATTGGAAAGTCATAAACATCTAGTTTCTCCTGAAAACAGAAAATTTGCCCACACTGCATCTGCATTTCCACGAGCGAAAATTCGGTGGGCTGCACCTCTAGAGTCCCACACTCTCCAATGAGACCCACACTCTCCAGGACCTACCTGGAATCTTCACATACTGGCTTTACGTATATCCAACCTGGAGGCAATTCAGCTCATTACCTCTGATTTAGGGCACCATCTAGTGTCCCCTCCCCCTCCACTCCCCGCCCCCACCATCATGACATTGTGTTATTGGCGAATGGGAAGAATCTCTGGTGTGGAGAAGTCAAAGGAGGCTTAGGGAGGAAGTGGGTGTGGACCAGGTTGTCAAGGAAAGAATGAGAAACGACATTTGGGG